ACTACTACTACTTACTACTACTACTACTACTACTACTACTACTACTACTACTACTACTACTACTACTACTACTACTACTACTACTACTATCTCTACTACTACTACTACTACTATCTCTACTACTACTACTACTACTACTACTACTACTACTACTACTACTACTACTACTTCGACTACTACTCTTACTATTGTTGCTGCTACGACTACGGCTACGACTACGACTACATCTACGACTACTACTCCTACTAGGACGACGACTACTAGCACCACAACTGCTGCTGCTACTACTCCCACCACCTACGATTTCAACTTCTAGTTTTACTTCTACCGCTGGTGCTACGACTAAACCCACATACCACTACCTCTCGATACTTCTACTCCTATCGACGCCAGTGCTAGCACTGCTTCTGCAAACGTGACTACGAGTACCGCTGCTGCCTGGAGTGCTACTACCACTGTGATGCGTCCTACTACTACTGCCACCAGCACGTAATACGACAGCCTGGGAGAAAGCAAGCCCACACGTCTACTTGTAAAGGAGCGAAGAAATATCCCTACTTCCCTGTTCACTCTACATCTCTCTCTCTCTCTCTCTCCCTCCGTCCGTTCACCCACCCACTGCTTCTTCCCTACTTCACCATATGGAAAACTCATCCCGCCAGCCTGGAGGACGGGCCTCTGCCATTTCTTCCTCGTGTCTTCTCCCCGTTATCAATCAACATGGTTTGGGCAACGCTGTCGCGGGCCGAGCTTCCTGCTCACGCGCGAGACTGGGCGAGAGCCTCTAACCCACCAGCCCGACAACGAGCTTTACAGCACAACAACAAAACTGTCCCGAGTGACCGCTCCACGCAAAAAAGTTGCCTGCACGTCCTCATGGCCAATCAACCGAGCTCGACTGACGCCCCAGCTTGGTTCGCGCCAAGGCGCGCTTCTCCTGCTGAAGGATGTTTGGAGAAAAATGAAGTGCAGGCGACGATGTCCCACTGACATATAAGTTTGGGTTCTAGAGGGTGCGGTTCCACCTCTGGTTCTGGTTGCACAGGTTGTGTAACTTAGACCGCTTCGACATGCGGCAGCACAAGGCTTTCGAATGTTCATCGTCTCACTGCGATGCCAAAGGAGGCTTGTATGCCGCATCCCAGGCAACGCCCTTCGAAATTACAGCCGCTGCTGGCTTTGAGCCGACCAGGAAGAGCATCACGGTCGTGACACCAGAGAGGAACACGACAAGTGGAACAAGTAATGGCGAAATGTTTGTCAAGTCCGTGTGAAAGTCCGAGGCCTTGGTGCATTTGTAGACGATTGCCCAAAACAAATAGAATATGATAGCGTAGTTGACCTGAGCGGGAATTTCCACCATGTTATTAAACTTACCATATAAGCCATAGCATACCGGGTAGAGGTATCGCATAACCACGTAGATCCACCCGAGCACTGCAGAAGTGCTGGGATTTACGAACAACGCATGCAACCACAGCACCAGGAAGAACGGGATACATTGCTCTATCGTATTGATGACACCGCGGTCAGCAATGTTGGCGGCAGTCTGCTTCTGACTCTCATCCATCTCTGCGAACTTGAACGCAATCTGGTTGCCCAAGAACGTGTACCACATGACGATCCAACCCAAAGTCACGCCGACTACCCCATATAAGTCTTCAGGACCAGGAAACCCATTCACGGCCCCACCTGGGCCAACACCGATCAGTGCGCCACCAACCAAGACAGTTGAGATGAGCATGCAAACTGGGAGCGACGACATCGTGAAGTTTTCATCACCCCAAGGGTACTTGGCCATACTGCTTGCTCGTGGGTGTAGCTTTGCGAAGACCCCGCGGGATACCGCTTGAGGCACAGCGACGTGTGCAAGATGGCTGCGGAGCTTGGGCCCTCGCCGCGCTCTTCACAGAGCCCCGGCCACCCGCCTCGAAAGGAGCTTGCACATTCAGGAAGGAAAAAACACACAGACGCAATTAATCGTCGATTCCCCAGAAAATGCGGGAAAATATGGGATTTGGGCGGGAAGACAAGAAACCCAGAAAATATGGGTATGGGGAACCATTTTATTTGTGTGTATGTATTTGTGTGTCCCAGGGCCCCTTCACACACATTCTCCCAAGTTGTTGGCGACACGGACGCAGTAGAAAACACCATTGCCATGCGGAACTTCAGTCCGAGCATCTGGCGGCCCGATTTTTCCGAGACGTGGGTCGACTCTTTCGAGACGAGGGCTCTCAAACCTCTCGACTTCTTTCCCGGGGGGCTTTTCATCCCGAATGTTTTTGATCCATGTGCCCCATTAAGGCTACGCCGTCCTGTTCTGCTAAGTAAGGCGGAGCTAGGACAAAGACAACATCGGACCGGGACAAATCGGGAATCTCTGAGATCCTGCGGTTCTGGAGGACGTATCGGGCGCCGATGCCGATTCAGAGCGATACGCTCTGAGAATGTTCCGGAACGCTCTGGAGCGATGCGTCCTTATGCCGAGCCCGCTCCAGTCAGGCCGCCAGATACCTGGGTGCAGGCACACGAGAGCCTCCCCACTCCGAAACTCGAAAACGGGGACTGGAGCCGCTCTTCTCTAGGGGGCAAACAAACCTACCTCGCTTCTGACTGCCCTCGCTTCCGAGAGATACCAAACGATGCCAGACTACGGCCTGTACTGATCAGGCCGCTTGACGAGGAGGCGCGTGGTATGACTTGCTTTTGCCTGGAAGCGAAAGCGGGGTAGGTAATTCACGCTCTGATTCTCCCAGCTCCGTCAGCGGCAGGGGTGGTCAGCATCGAAGCGATACCTCGGACCGGATCGGATCGGGACGTGCGTCGGAAAGGGGCCGTCTCGGCACGGAGTCGGAATCGAAGCGGATGGGCCGCGGCAATCGGGTCGGGCAAAAGGGGGGGGATAGCAAAGGGGGGGTTTGAGAATCAGCTCACGTAGCTGATTTTCCCGGCGCCTCCCGGCGCCGGAGGCGGCTATGCATCGAGGAATGGGCCCCTCGTGAGGCCGAAACCAGCTGCATGCAGCAAATTTCGTAACCCCCCCTTTCCCAATCCCCCCCTTTCGCCCGGCCCGAGGCAAGCTGCACGTCGCCGCCCAAGCGAACATCGGGTCGCACCAGGTCGTCGGAAGAGCGGAGCCGCCAGCCGAAAAATCGATCGCATCGAAGTGGGCCCTGCCGAGGTTTTCCGCTGCAGGGGCCCGCGGGGGAGGAGCTCGGGGAGCACGGCGGCCGCTGTCCGACCCCGGCCCGCACCTCAATTTCCATCGTGCCGGGGCCGCTGATGATCAACCACAAATGCCCCTGACCCATCGCGAGGGGACTTTTAGGTCAGGAGGGCCGAGCACATTGGGGATATGGGGCTCTTCTCTGCAGGTGCATCGAACCAAACCGCCCAGAGCTATTATCCCCCCACACACAGACGGGGACCTCACTGAGGCCACGTCTTCACTTCGGCGGTGGACAAACCTCCCGTTGGCAAACCTTCCCTCAATGAAAACGGCCTGGGATCGTAACCGACGGATCTGGACCCGCAGAAATGACGACCGCGACGCCCTCTCGCGAACCGAAAACGGCCAATTCCTTACTCGACGTGGCAGGGTAGGAGGTCTATTAACCTCCGATCGCTGTGTGATTAGGGTTAAGTCGGGCCTGTCCCCCCATAGGGAGATCTTGGACGAAAAACTAAACATACCCCAGACATGCTCCAAAATGGCCAACACATGCTCAACACATCGTCCACTGATCATTTTTTTGGACTACTTTTGAAGATCCCCCCTTTGGACGCCCGAAATGGGTACCAAACAAATGGGTACGATGCCCAACAGCAAATGCTGTCCCAAACCAACAGCGGCCGCTGTTGGGCAGGCGGCCTCCTGTCTCGAATGGACACAGGCCGCGGCGGCGTGGACAGCGGATCTTGTTCACAATGAACAGGAACTGCTGTTGGGCATAGTACCCATTCTTTCAATACCCATTTCGGGCGTCCAGACCCCCTGCAGAGGGAGAGGCCCGACTTAAGATCAGGGCCATGGGGCTCCTTGTGTCCCCGAGGAGCCGAGGGCGGGCAGGCCCGCGGAGGACCCCCCGGGTCCAGCCGCCGGCGGCGGCACCGCAACGGAACGGGGCACTCCGCAGCGGGCGGGCGGTGGAGGAGGAGGAGGAGGAAGGAGGAGGAGCGAGGAGGAGCGAGGAGGAGCGAGGAGGAGGAGCGAGGAGGAGCGAGGAGGAGGAGGAGGAGGAGGAGGAGCGAGGAGGAGGAGGAGGAGGAGAAGGAGGAGCGAGGAGGAGCGAGGAGGAGCGAGGAGGAGGAGGAGGAGGAGGAGGAGGAGGAGGCGGACGCCCTAAACGGGTACAGTCGGGGCCTTGACCCAAGGAACCCCAAATGAGGAACGAGGCCCCTTTTTCCATAAGTTAAACTTCGATTTCCGATCGAAAACATAAGGAAAACCTGAGGCAAGCTGCGAAACAATTACGGAACGCGAAGCCCCTCCCCAACCAAAAGGGTTCCTTCTTCAGGGCCCCCCCTGTACGGAAAGAGTGGGTACAATGCCCAGCAACAAAGGTTGTCCCAAACCAGCAGCGGCCGCTGTTGGGCAGGCGGCCCTCTGTCTCGCATAGGCACAGGCCGCGGCGGCGTGGACAGCGAATCCGGTTCAAAATGAACAGGAACTGCTGTTGGGCACTGTACCCATTCTTTCCGTACCCATTTCGGGCGTCCAGAAGAAGCACCCCTCCCCTGTGCCAACCTGTCCGACGCCCCTTGCCCGCCCCCCCACGCGCCCCAAACCCACGCCCTCTCGCTCCGCAACCTCCCCACGCCCCCCGAAGGACTCCCCACGCCCCCCGAAGGACAGCCTTCGGGGGGCGTGGGGAGGTTGGGGACTTGGTCTACCTTCACGTCGGGCCTGTCTCCCTACAGGGGGATTTTCGACGACAAATAAGACATACTCAAACAACTGCTCCAAAGATGTGAAAAAAGGGTTGGGTTGGGTGGGTCATGGGTTCGAGGTTGGGTGGGTTGGCAGGACCTGGTCTTTTTTATGCGCAAGCAAGCCGCAACAAAACTGCGATTGAAAAGGTCGTCGGGCGATCAAACGGCGCCGCACAAACCGATCTGCAGCGGGCAAGCTCAAGCCGCTCCGCGACGAATAGCAAGGGTCAGAATGGCAGATGCACTCCGTCAGCTCAGGGCACTCCCTCTCGGCAGCGGCCGTGCTGCTGCCGAGGACGCAGGGGGCGGGGGGGGGGGGCTCGCGAGACCTCGTGGGTTCCAAGCGGGATTGGGACGCTATCAGCACGAGCGCCGACAAAACTCACAATCTAACTACTCGACAGGTTCAGCTTGGCAAGAATGCCACGATCCCCGAGGCCCCGTGCGCAGCACACTGTGAACCCATGCTGCCAGAGGTCGTGCGAACAACTCGCGGTGTACTGCGCGGCGCCTTCGCTGCCCGTCTATTCTCTGGTGAACTGTCGGCTTGCAAATAGCAGTGGAGTGAGAGGACGAATCCAGGGATGAAGGATGAATTTGTGAGGAGTGGGCAGAAGACAATCAAGGCGGAGTGGGCAGGAGAAGTGGGACGCACGCCACCATGATTCACACTGGTTCACATCAGACTCCCTGGCAGGCATGCGCCTGAGATTATACAGCGTTCCGGATGCAGCCTACCTTGTCGGGATGCAGTGTGGTGTTCAAGCAGTCCCAAGGAATCGGCGCGCAACTGCCCAAATTGTAACCTTCACCTGGGCAAGCCATCAGCGACATGTACAGCTTGAGGACGGCGTATGCGAAAAGCGAGTAACCAATGACTGCCCAAACTATCACATACATCATGAGCAAATTAATCGTCTTCTTGTCTTGCTTACAAGAACTGCCTATCGACTCAAGCGTCGTACCACCAGAAACCTTGCTGCGGATGGTCCACATCACTTGACAATACATGTGTAAAGCTTGTCTCAACTGGATCATCAAATCGAACACTACCACAGATCCAACCGTGAACAAGATTGAGTAAAGCGTCGGGTGGTCCATATAAATAGTGTTCATGGTGTGCAACATGACTGCCCTGTGGAGATAGAACTGCGTCACCTGCAGATTGAGGATGACGCCGCCTCTCATAACGGTGTGGCCGTACGTCTGCCGGAGTGCCGCCTCGAGGACGAGGATCAAGCGCCGCTGCATCTGTACGAACTTCTTTTTGGTCTGCGGCTCGTCTATGTTGCCCGAATCTACTTCTCGTCTGAATTTCTGTAGTTGGCATATGGCCAACGTTTGGGCTATATCTTTCAAGCCGTCCAACCCCATAACTGCGGCCAATGAAACGCTAGCGTCAGTAAAAAACGTTGACGACCAAACGCTTTCGAGGCAATGGCAACCTCCCAAATCAACACCAGTGACGCGCATTGCTGTAGTCTTTACAACTTGTGACCAACGATCACAGAGTCTTCTCCAACAGGAGCGGAAGCGCACCTCCTTCCAGTTCTCAGATTCCATGTCGTACACTGCCTTGACAGCCATGTCGACTGGTGGCGTTGGCGTCCAGGCGTCCCTACAAACCCGAAGTATCCAAATGAAACAACATGTGGTTTCCCTCTCCATGGTTTCGTCGGCTCGCAAAGGTGCCGGGATGGAACGAAGCAGCGCCCTCGGGAAAGATATGAACAGAAGAACCACACATGCAAAATAGCAGTGCGTAAGGTTTCCCACCTTGTCCCAGAAGAAAAGTGAGATGAACGAAAACCATGATTGCAACATCGTCGCATCCCACGCGAAATGCCAGAGGGTCGTGCCGCGACAGAGCTGATCCCCTGCTGACTGCACCATGCTGAGGCCAAAGACATACAAGCCGAAGAACACGTTCACGAATGTCGAGAACAACCTAAAAAGGATGTACTTCGTATCGCTGACTTTGAAAATGCCGAGTATGCCGAGTCGGGCCTCTGTCAAGCCAGCATCCCTCCGTGACTCTTTGAACGGCCGCATGCAATACATCAGGGCCTTCGCTTCCGCGAGTACGACCACAACTGACAACACGAGCAAGATGGCCCAGACCCACATGGGGTGCTTTGCGGCATGAGCGTCGAGCGTCTCGGGGTCGCATGTCAACTGGGTGTACACGATAGGCATGACGAGCATCCACATGACAAGTGTGAAGACCGTCGCTGCTCTGACCCACCGGAGCCCTGGGCCCATGGTGAAATTCAATCCCAAAGGCGTCGGTCTGAAGCTCGGCGGATTCGCTCCCGGTGGGACCTGCCCGCCTTCCTCGTAGATCCTGTCGACCTCCGGCGCCCACCTCCCGCCCTCCTCCAGGAGCGGGTCCTGGAGCGCCATGGCTCGCGCCGCGGAGGCCCGCTCACCAGGACTGGCAGGGTGCCGGCCTGCCAACGGCTGGCCCGACGTGCGCGCGCCGCGAGAGGGAACGCTGGCGAGGGGGGGAACCCCACCAGCGCGCACAGCGAGCAGACACGCGCGGACACTTGAGCCAAAATGGCTACGGAGGTTGGCAGGACCTGGTCTTGGGTTGGGTTGGGTGGCTCATGATCGCCAAGACAGGGTTGGGTGGGTTAGCAGGACTGGTTTTTCCGTGCGAGCGCCCTTGATCAGGTTGCAGCGTGTGCCATCTTCAGCGCGGTCTCTGATGCCAACAGCTCCATCTGTTCCCCTACAGGGGGATTTTGGATGAAAAATTAAAGATGCGCAGAAAATGCTCCCAAAAGATGCCCAAACATGGTCAAAAGATCGTCCCCAGACTATTTTAGACCATTTTCGAATATTCCTCCTGCAGAGGGACAGGCCCGACTTAAGTCTACCTTTATTCAATCGCTTCGCTCACTCCGCCGGCCCGTATTGCATGATCGCTACTGCTTCGGCGCGGGCTCGGGGCCATTTCGGCGCCGCTGGAAGGAGGAAGATGAGGATGGGGAGGTGGAGGGGAGGAGGAGAAGAGGATGAGAAGGAACGGAGGAGGATGAAGATAAATATGAGGAGGAGGAGGAGGAAGAGAAAAGGGCGAAGGAGGAAGCCTCTCGATGGCATCTTGCGGCGCTCTTGGGGCCAAACAGGGCCGTCGTCCAGATGCTTCTTTGGGGGGGCCTGGGGTCTGTTGAGAGGCCGTTCGGGGGCGCCTGGGAGACATTTTTGAAGCCTTGTAGGGCCTCTTTTGAGCCTCCTTGGAGCCTCCTGGGGTCTCTTGGGGGCCTCTTGGCGGCATCTTGGGCCATCTTGGGGGCCTCTCGGGGCCTCCTGGGGCCCTCTTGGGGCGGAAGGCTTGAAGTTTCGGTTCGTGGTCCCCATATTGGGCCCCTCTTGGGGCCGTCTTGGGGCTCTCTTGGGCCGTCTTGGGCGTCTCTTGGACCGTCTCGGGGCCTGTTTGGGCTCTCGGGGGGCCTTCTTGGGGGCCTCTTGAGCCGTCTTCGTGCGCTCTTGGGGGCCTTTTGGGCCGTCTTGGAGCATCGGAAAGCCGAAAATGCGACAAGGCCAAACTCCTTCCAACACCATCGTAAAATGTATGATTTTGGCCTCTCGGGGCGCTCTTGTGAGGCCTCTTGGAGGCCACTTGGAGCGTCTTGGCGGCTTCTTGGGCCGTCTTGGGATCATCTTCGGCGTCTTGGAGCGTCCTTCGGGCGTCTCGGGGGCCTCTTGGGCAGTCTTGGTGGCTTCTTGGGGCCCTCTTGGCGCGCTCTGGGGGGCCTGAGAGGCCGTACCCAGGAGGAAAACCATCTCTGAGTAGACCTTCCCGGGCTGCGGTCGGGGCACTTTTCGCCGGGGGACCCCCAGGGGCCGCCCCGCGCGCGCGAACTAGAAATATTGTTAAGTAGTTACTGGAGATCTGAGCACGCCTCTGGCCCGTTGGGCCGGCGAATTCCGTGCGAGCGCCCTTGATCAGGTTGCAGCGTGTGCCATCTGCAACGCGGTCTCCAATGCCAACAGCTCCATCTCAAAAGATGACGTCGCATTCGCCCTAGATTTATAATAGTAGCCTACCATGTGTCGTTTCATATGTCCGTCTTCCAAATACTACGCCAACAACTGTGCACCTGCTGCTCCACCAGCGCCCTCCACGAAGCCTCCGTCTGTAAAAATAGCGCGAAACCAAATCATAACGATGGAACTCCGCCGTTCACATAATATTCGCCGGCCCAACGGGCCAGAGGCGTGCTAAGATCTCCAGTAACTGGTTAACAATATTTCTAGTTCGCGCGCGCGGGGCGGCCCCTGGGGGTCCCCTGGCGAAAAAAATCCGACCGCAGCCCGGGAAGGTCTACTCAGAGATGGTTTTGAGTACCTTTTTTCGACACCCCTCACGAGGATCGTGGCCTCCGAGGGGGGTGCACTCGACTACCCCGCCCCAAGAGGCCCCCAAGAGCCCCCCAAGAGGCCCAAGGGGGCCCCAAGACGCCGCCAAGGATCCCCAAGAGAACCCCAAGAGGCCCCTAGGGGCCCCCAAGAGGCTTCAAAGAGGCCCCATAGAGCGCTCGAGGGCCGGCGGAAAGAGCGAAGCGATTAAATAAAATGCAGTCCGGGCCAAAACGACATGGGGCTCCAAAAGTTGCATTTGTGGCTCGCGTTGATTTGTTACATGTTCGGCGGCGGTCGCCGATCGTGCCTACCTTGGAACCCGCGAACTTCGGATGGCCAAATTCCAACGTTACGAATCAATTTCGCGTTAATTGTTTCCATCCACGGTAGTGGCGTGTTCCGGGGCACCCCCCCCACCCCTGCCACATTCCACTCACCGGAACTGCCATCACACGAACAGCACCACGTACGGCAGTCCTGGCTTAGTGATTCGGGCCTGTGTTTCGGGCTTCGAGGCCCCATCTCTGAGCGGCTCCTCTTAACGGAGGTCCTGGCTATGCCCGAGACGGGTACTTTGGGAGCCTGCCGAAAGCTGCCACTCGTAAGGCCCCGTTCGGGTGTTGCAGCGTCGCCGTCCTCCGCCGGCCTTCCGCCAGGCTCCGCCGAGCAAAAGAGGCGTCAGCTCCTCCACGCCTATCGAGTGCGAGACGCCTCGCTGGAAAGCCCTGAGGCCTCAGACCCTCCAGTGGTTAGCATCACATGGGCCCCTAGCCCTTTGGGAAGGGACCTATGTTAGGAGGGCCACACACGTTAGGGATCAGGGGTCTTTTCGGTAGATGTATCGAGCCAAGTCGCCCAGATCTGTCATCCCCAATGCAGAGGATGGGGACGTAAGCGAGGCCACGTCTTCACTGTGCTAGTCGGGTTAGGGTTCTCTTATTCTTGATCATCCAGGGCTCGATTCTGTTCAAGGCGTGGGCTCTGCATCTCTCGCCCCCTTCCCCAGGGTCGGCATCCGTGGAGGATAGGGGTGGAGGAGGATGCGCGCGTGTCGGTCGACGTCTTGGAGGGCGCCGCATGCTTCCCAGCATGGTGGCGTTGATTGTCACCTAGACGACTTGTGGCAAGAGCTTCGCAGCAGGAGGCGGAGGAGCTCCAGGGGTCGAATTCACAATTTCTCACCACATGGCAGCGAGAAGAGCAGTTATGCAAACTTTTCCTTGCATGTGGTGCGAGGCGTGCCCTCCGCCCCCTCCCGAGGGAGGAGGATGAGGAAGACGACTCGGCGTGGCGAACACAGCCGTGGCGATGAGGCGCTCCCCAAAGGCCCGAGAAAGGGCGAGGAGCGCTCAATCCTCGACACGCGGTCTCGGCCCGCTGGAGGTCCCCAGGGGCCTCCAGACCCCGAAGGCTTCTGGAAGGCGCCTGAAAGTCCGTGAATGCCCGGGGAAGCCTGGCGGAGCAAGCAACCACCCAAGGACGCACAGTCGGACTTCATTGGACAGGACACGCGAGAGGACAAAATACCCTTCCGAGGGCCACACTGCCGCAGGAATGCAGGAGGCACGGGTCGCGAGACACAGGACACAAGGGTACCCTTGATTTGGCAGGGTCGACCTACTCATCTGGGCCGACTGTAGAAGGCGTCTAAAAGTTCGTGGATGCCCAGGGACGCCTGGCGGAGCAAGCAACCACCCAAGGGCGTACCGAGCCCACCAAAGACGCGTGGCAAGACCATGGGTCCTGTTCGCACCCGCTGGAACTCCCGAGAGCTCACGGAGGGAGCGGCAGTCGCGCGGTTAGCAGCACCCAAGGCGGCGGAGATTAGATTTGGACTCGAGCGCGTCACCACCGCGCTGGACCTCCCAGGAACTCACGAAAGTGGCAACCACTGCGCAGTCGGTAGCGCCTACAGTCGACCCGTATCATAATGATGCGCGGTAAGGATGCAAGGGCCTTGGAAAGCCATGTCGGCACTTTGCGGGCGGGGCGCGGCCAGTGAAAGTGGTCGAGGATGGACCGATGAGGCAAGGGTGCGAGGGTACCCTTGGGAAGGCTACCCATCCTTACAAACTTTGCGGGTTGACTGTAGGGAAGCGCGGTCTCGTTTGGATCCGCGTAGGGCTCATCCGCTGGACCTCGCAGCAAGCAACTCGCGAACGTGGCGACAACTGCGCAGTCGGCAGCGCCTGGGGAGGCGCGGTCTCGTCTGGATCCGCGCAACGCCGCACTCCACTGGACCTCGCAGGAAATCACCAAAGGAGTGGCAGTTGCGTAGTTGGCAGCATTCAGGAAGGTCGAGGCGAAAAACTGAGCCTGAGCGCGTCACCACCCCGCTGGAACTCCCGGGAGCTCACCAACGTGGCAACGACTGCGCAGCTGGCAGGTGCCGGGGATTCGAGGCCTCCTTGGGAGCTTGGGCAAGGCCACGCTCCGCTGGAGCTCCCAGGGGCGCGACAAAGTGGCGATAGTTGGCGATGGCTGCACGAGGTGGCAGCGATGGCGGGCATGAGGCGGGAAGAAGCGCGATAGGGAGGGGGCGGGAGGAGACGAGGAGCAGCAGGGCCCTGTTCAAGACGAGTGCCAAGCACAGGAGGGCAAGGAGAATGCTAGAGCAAGCCATGAGACAACCAAGACGAGTGCCAAGCACAGGAGGGCAAGGAGAATGCTAGAGCAAGCCATGAGACAACGACTGTCTCCTCCTCCTCGTGGACGGGATGCGCGTCCGTGTCTGCATGTGTGTGCGAGTGCGTGCGCACCAACGCCGGCGCGTGCTGCCAGCTCCGTCGCCCGCGCCTGCGCAGACGGGATGTGCGTCTGAAGCTCGCCCCGTGCTCCTCTTCCCTCCCTCCCTCCCTCCCTCCCTCCCTCCCTCCCTCCCTCCCCTCCTTCCTTCCTTCCTTCCTTCCTTCCCTCCTCCTCCTCCTCCTCCTCCTCCTCCTCCTCCTCCTCCTCCTCCTTCCTCCCCCTCTCCAAGGCGGGGGCCTCGGAGAAGGCTTCTAGAGCTTCTCGGAAGGCCGAAGGCCTTCGCCTTCTGAGAAGGCCCACCCCCTCTGCCTTCCTCCTTGAGCGGGACGCCGAGTCTGCTTTGTCGGGTCATTCCGGCGGACGTTCGGGACGATTCGGCCCCCCCCGAACGCTCTCGGCGAGGCGCAGCTGCCAGAAAGCACCCCGAGGCTGCAAAACGTGTTGGG